AGGAGAGGTGTGGGGGGGTTGGGGGTGGGGAGGAGAGGTGTGGGGGGGTTGGGGTGGGGAGGAGAGGTGTGTGGGGTTAGGTTGGGGGTGGGGAGGAGAGGGGGGATGGGGTGGGAGGAGGGGGGTTAGGTGGGGGGTGGGGAGGAGAGGTGTGGATGAGGAAGTGGGGGGGGTTAGGTTGGGTGTGGCTATGCACACACCAGGCAGTACAGTAAAACAGGAGAGAGGATTGTGGGGTGTCTCACTGTGACCCCGCACTGGGCCCGATCACCCCTCAGGGGCTGGGTGCAGATCTCCCCTTTGACACACAGAAGATGGAGGCAGTAGCCTTCAGATACTAGCCACCCCAGGCTTTGCCTCCTACTTAGGGGTCAGGACCTACACACAGTGAGTGTGGGGATACATAACCCCCCCACCCCCCCATCACCATTCCTGTGGAGAACGTAATCCTATTTTAGGACTGTACAATTTCTGAGGGGATCTCTCCCCATCTTGCCCCCAACATTGATCTAATGTGAAGGTTTCAGGAGCAGCCAGTGGCCAGCAGGGAAGCTTTTAGGGTACATCTACACTGCATATTAAGCCTGGGCTCTGACTCAGGTTTGAGCCCAAGTTCCCCCACTATCCACACACAAATCAGTCGGATTCGTCTGTGACCATACAGAACTCTGATCCTATAGCCCTGCTAGGGGGGTGGGTCAGAGCCCAAGTCCCACTGTGACTTGGGTCCAAGCCCTATCATTCTGCAGTGTGGATACAGCTCATTGCTTGAGGGACAAACTTCATTCCAAACTGGTGGAATGATCTGCCCTTTCCAGCAGGTATTTTTCTCCTTGGTAGGGGATGATGGTTATCTAGCCCTATGCTACATACTGAATTAATGACTTTAATCTGATATCTGGTCATTTTTTCTATTGCCAGTGAATATCCAGTGATGCTTGCACTGAGGTCCCCACCTCCAATAGGCAAAACTCTATCTTAAGCAGCTACTGTACTTCCAAGTCCTGCAGCTCAAATAAATTTGTTAGTCTCTAAGGGTACGTCTATACTTACCCGCTGGTTCGGCGGCCAGCAATCGATCCCGGAAGTGCTCGCCGTCGATGCCGGTAATCCTGCTCTGCTAGAGGAGTAGGCGGAGTCAACGGGGGAGCCTGCCTGCCGCGTGTGGACCCCGCGGTAAGTACTTTTAAGTTCGAACTAAGGTACTTCGACTTCAGCTACGTTATTCACGTAGCTGAAGTTGCGTATCTTAGTTCGAACTGGGGGCTTAGTGTGGACCAGGCCTAAGGTGCCACAAGTATTCCAGCCTTATTTTGTTTCACCATTAGCTAAGGGCCCATCACTCTAGGGAAGTGGCTTTCACTAGTTCCCTGGGAGGTTGCTAAAGTCAGTTCTTACCATGTATTGTAAAAAGTAAAACATATATCAGGGAATCAATTTAACAGACATATATGAATTGTGTGTTTTGAGGTTCTCTCCAGTTTATAGGTTTGCTGTCAGGGTAGAATAGAAACTTCAGAGGTATTCAAAAAAGCAGACATATGGAGGCAGTTTTCTTATTTTAAGAGCCACTGTGTTTAACCAAATTTAAGGGATTAACATTTTTTAACTGTGATCCTCCTGGACCTTAAAAAAATACAAGCAAAAGTGAAATGCACTGTGTGTGTTGTTCAGTCACAGTCAGTTCATGAAGAATTTAAAATACAGAACTGTTCTGCTTATATCAATACAACTTAGAACATATTTACAATTTTAAAAATGCCTTCTGTTCCAACTACATACTTTGAAATGTATCAGAGGGGTAGCCGTGTTAGTCTGAATCTGTAAAAAGCAACAGAGGATCCTGTGGCACCTTTAAGACTAACAGAAGTATTGGGAGCATAAGCTTTCGTGTCTTGCATCTGAAGAAGTGAGGTTCTTACCCACGAAAGCTTATGCTCCCAATACTTCTCTTAGTCTTAAAGGTGCCACAGGACCCTCTGTTGCTTTATACTTTGAAATGACTGTTATTTGGAGCTGATGTTTATCCATATTTATTTCCCTCATAATAAAGATATAGGCTTGTCACAAAGGTATCAGTGTTGCTTATGTGAGTCCCAGTACTTCAGTTGGATCTACCCAGGTGAACCCTGGTGCTTGCATGGGACCCCATTAAAGTCATTGGAGCTCTACATGGGTGCAAGGTTCTGCCTTTGTGGATACAGTTACAGGACTTGGGAGTACACTAACTGTTTGGCATAGGCTAGCAGTTGTTAATAAAGTTCTAATCAATTTAACTCTCATACAGTAAAGTGGTGATGTATGCTCTCAGTTTATACTTGTTTAACCAGAAATACTGCAGTATTTACTAATCCCCCCTTTAAATTTCTTCATTTCCCTTCATCATACTTTTCAGTAATATTTTTCAAAATACATATATTGTAGTGATTCTTATCAACACTGTCAAGCTCTTTAACAGGAAAAAAACATGCAAAAATATCACTTCATCAAAATGTTTTAACTACTGAAGTTTAAATGGTGTTTTCCTGTTATTAACACTAACAAATCATTTGTATTTGTTTTATAAAGCTTTTTACTTTTTTTTATTATATAGATAAGAGAGAAGATGCCTTCAACACAAAAGCCAATGCGCTATGGACACACAGAAGGCCACACAGATGTCTGCTTTGATGACATTGGAAGGTAAATTATTGAAATTAGGGCTTATTTCAGTAGTTCATATGTCTGCAAGCAATGCCATTGATACTGCAAAACTAGAGGGGGTGACGGAAGAGTGATGAGAATGTTCATGGGCCTGGCAAAACTCTCATATGAAGAGATGTTGAAAAGATTGAGATTGTTCATCTTAGAAAGGAGTTGAGTAATAAAGGACATAATAAAAGTGTATTGAAATAATGAACAGTATAGAGAAGGTAGATCAAGAGCTTCTGCTCTCCGTGTCTCATAGCATGAGAACAAGGGGACATTCAATGAAATTGAAAGGTGGGAAATTAAAAAACGATAAATAGAAATACTTTTCCACAAATGTACAATTAAACTATGGAACTCACGGCCACAGGAAGTCATTGAGGCCAAGATCTTTAAAAGGTTAAAAAAGTTATTGGATATTTTTACACTTTTATCATTATTAATTAGGACAGCTCCCGATATTCATATCAAGAATATCTGGAGTTGTCCTAATTAATGATGATACACATTTTGGAAGGGATATTAAACCTGATGCTTCAGGCTTTAAACCAATCTCTAAATCTTAGAGGTCAAGATGAGGTATAATGTGAAGGACAGATTATCTCACATCTGCCATGGTTCTTACATCTTTCTATAAAACATCTAGTATTGACCATTGCCAGAGACAGGATACTGGACTAGATGGACTTTGGGTCTGACCCAGTGTGGCAATTTCTATGTTCCCGTGACTGTCCTGAAAGTTGGTTGTAAGGCCTTTACGTTCTGATGCCTCAATCATGCAATGACTTGCGCATTAAATTAACTTTACACCCATGAGTAGTCCCATAGGTTGAAGTAGAAACGGGGCAGTGCGAGGAAAAGTGTTATGTGCATATAGACATTGGAAATCCAAAATGTAGCTGCATAGATCCAGCTATTGGCTTGCTATCTTTCAGCGTACTCTTTGGTATAGATCTTGGACTATGTTATTGAAGTTGAAGTTAAAAGAATATAAATCAAAGGTCTCCATTAACTTGAATCTACAACTGAGGTCATTTGAAAGATTATTATTGTCTTCAGTGGGCTTTGGATCAGACCCTGTGTGAAAATTTAGCCAGGTAACTTTAATCTTCCCAACAAAAAAAAATTGTTCACTTAGAGTTGGGGTTTCTTAAGTGTGTTTATCACAAGTCAAATGCTAAAAAACAAGGAAATCATAAAGTAAGACGGCAGGCACCCCATACACAATTGCAGCCTACAAGCATTGGCCCTCTACCTTTATCACACTCCACTCCACTAACACCCTCTCTGACATGCTCAATAGCTGCTCTGCAATGCTGTCGCTCTCAGCAGGCACACATCAAAGAACTGAAAATTGCACAGAAACACACAACCTTAACTCCTACATGCCAGTGCTACATTATTTAATTATAATTGTAAGAGTACAAGAGTACCATCCAGTTGCAGGGAAAAGAATGCAAAGTTTGGTCACATACTCAATTTCTTACTGTATTAAAAAATGCAAACTTCTGTATATTAACATGACTTTAAAATAATCAGCTCAACTATACAGTACACACAACTAAACAAAAGCATACATACACATTTTACACATATACATATCGGTACTAATTATATAACAAAGTAACAAACAGGTCAGGCTAAAGGTGGTGAGAAATAGGCTATGTCTACACTTAAAACATTACAGCAGTTCAGCTACTGTGCTGCAACTGCACCGCTGTAGTGTTGAGTGTAGGCACTCAATACAGCAACAGGAGGGGTTCTCCCATTGCTGTAGTTAATCCACCTCAGTGACAGGCAGTAGCTAGATCAAAGGAAGAATTCTTCTGTCAGTCTAGCACTGTCTACACCATGGGTTAGGTTGGTATAGCTACATCTCTGAGGTGTAGATTTTTCACAACCGTGAGAAACATAGCTATGCTGAGGTCTACTAAAGGTGTAGTGAAGTGGTTCTCAAACTTTTCTACTGGTGACCCCTTTCACTTAGCAAGCCTCTGAGTGCAACCCCCCCTTATAAATTAAAAACACCTTTTTATATATTTAACACCATTATAAGTGTTGGAGGCAAAGCGGGGTTTAGGATGGAGGCTGACAGCTCGGGACCCCGCATGTAATAACCTTGCGACCCCCTGAGGGGTCCCGACCCCCAGTTTGAGAACCCCTGGTGTAGTATGATAATGCTGCTGAATTGAAACTGAGCCCTGGTCTATACTACAGAGTTAAATCGATGCAAGGCAGCTTACATCAACCTACCTATGTAAGTGTCTACACTAAAATTTTGCTCCCACCGATGTAACTCACCTGCTACACCGACTTAATAATTCCATCTCCATGAGAGGTGTAGAATCAATGTTGATGTAGGTAGGTTGATGCAGTGTCAGTGTAGACAGTGCGTTGCTTACATTGACTGTCATTGGCTTTCAGAAGCTATCCTGCAATGCCCACAGTGAGGAGTTCAATTGGTGCAAGCACTCCTGGTGAGGGACGTGCACCACCAACACATGGAACAAAGTGTAGACATGTACAAGCGATATAATTACTGCGGTGACTGTATGCCAGTGTAAGTTAGGTCAACTTAATTTTGTAGCATAGACGTGGTCTGTGTGTGTTAAGAGGGTATTAGGGTCAGAATGGTACGGGGATTGATCTACCAACAAAGAACCAAAACCACAAAAGGACAAAATACAAAAAACGATTGACCGAAGTTATAAAACCTTTCCATTACTTTGCCAGCATGACTGATAGCAAATACAAATGTCTTAGTCTGAGCCAAGTACACTAAGAGGAGGCTGAAGTGTTGCTGTTAAAATGGAATCCTGAAATCATTCCTGTCTTTCTAGCATTTAAAATTGGAGATTCAGATTTCTGCTCTCAATCTCTGTTTGTGAAGAATGTTGTGTAACAATTTGTTGCATCAAAGTTGTAGAAGTGAAATTATGAAAGACAGGAGAGTTGAATTCAGAATCTTGACAGTTTTTAAAAGGCCTGCCCTTCTTTACAGCCATCTCAGCTTCAATCAAGTGTGTTTAGCACATTTGGATTAGGTCAAAACTTTGTGACAGGATAGGGGGCAGATTTTCAGAGGCAGGAAGGGCAGTTGGGTCCCCAACTTCTAGTGAAAGTCAGTGCAAGTTGGGCTCCTAACTTTCCTTTGTGCTGTTGAAAATATCCTCCTAGATGCTGAAAAATGAATTGGCTGGTTAGTGTCTGAGTATCTAAGGACAGATACAAAAGAGGGATAGGCTTACCTAGTTAGTAGACTTATACTCAAATATTGTGTTATACTAGCAGAATTGCAAGTTTTTCATGTCGTATAATATGAGTGTCTTTCTCATATTATTTGAATAAATACACTTATAAAATGTTTCATTTAATAAAAATGTGAATTTTTAAACATTTCCCCCCATATTTTGGACTGAGGAAAATCATAATAACCCTACTATACACAAATGTTAATAATGATATTATTTTCTTAACAGCTATATTGTAACTTGTGGCAGTGATGGAGATGTTAGGATTTGGGAAAACCTGGATGATGATGATCCTAAGTCCATTAATGTGGGAGAAAAAGCATATTCATTTGCTTTAAAGGTATTAGTATAATATTTCCTATGAAATGGGCAACACGGGTGCTGATATATACCTTGATCCTGCAAAATCTTCCTCATGTTCTTAACTGTATGCATGTGAACTCAACGGGACTGCTGATGTGCATAAAGTTAAGCATGTATTGGAAATATTTGCAGGACTGGAGCTAGAATGGTATTGGATTTAGCAAACTTGATTTAATGTTACACATATAACTCATTGCATTAACTTACATAACATAGCTTTCAACAAATACAGTAGTCTAACTTTTTTTCTTAATGTTGTCACGGACACATCTTACATGAGATTAAAAGGATCTGTTTTAATCGTACAATCATAGAAATGTAGGGCTGGAAGGGACCTTGAGAGATCAACAGCTGCAGCCCCCTGCACTATGGTAGGACCAAGTAAACCTAGACCATCCTGACAGGTGTTTGTTTAACCTGTTCTTAAAAACCTGCAGAGATGGGGATTCCACAACCTCCGTTGGAAGCCTATTCCTGAGCTTAACTACCCTTATAATTAGAAAGTTTCTCCTAATATCTAACCTAAATCTTTCTTGCTTCAGATTAAGCCCATTACTTCTTGTCCTACCTTTAATGGGCATGAACAATTGATTCCCTTCCTCTTTGTAACAGCCCTTAACATATCAGGTTCCCCCCTCAATCTTCTTTTTTCAAGACTAACCATGCCCAGCTTTTTTAATGTTTTCTCATAGGTCAGGTTTTATTAACCTTTAATCATTTTTGTTGCTGTCCTCTGGACTCTCTCCAATTTGTCCACATCTTTCTTAAAGTGTGGTGCCCAGAACTGGACACACTACTCCAGCTGAGGCTTCAATTGTGCTGAATAGAACAATTACTTCCTGTATTTTACATACAACACTCATGTGAATGCACCCCAGAATATTAGCCTTTTTTGCAACTGCATCACATTGTTGCCTCATGCAAATTGTGATCCACAATAACTCCCAGATCCTTTTCAGCAGTGCAGTACTACCACCTAGCCAGTTATTTCCCATTTTGTAGTTGTGCATTTTATTTTTCTCTCCTAAGTGAAGTGTTTTGTGCTTGTCTTTATTGAATTTCATCTTGTTGATTTCAGACCAATTCTCTAATTTGTCAAGGTCATTTTGGATTCTAATCCTGTCCTCTAGTGTGTTCCTTCCAGCTTGGTGTCATCTGCAAATTTTATAAGCATCCTCTCCATTCCATTATCCAAGTCATTAATGAAAATATTGAATATACTAGACCCTGCACTGACCTCTGCAGGACCCCACTAGATACACCTTCCCAGTTTGATAGTGGACCATTGATAACTACTCTTTGATTTGGTCTTTCCACCAGTTGTGCACTCATCTTATAGTAATTTCATCTAGAGCACGTTTCCTTAGTTTGCTTATGAGAATGTTATATGGAACTGTATCATAAGTCTTACTGAAATCAAGATATATCATGTCTACTGCTTCCCCCCATTCACTAGGCCACTAAGATTGTCAAAGAAGGAAATTAGGTTGGTTTGGAATGATTTATTTTTGACAAATCCATGTGGCTATGCTTTATAACCCTATTATTCTCCAAGTGCTTACAAATTGATTGTTTAATAATTTGTTCCAGTATCTCTCCAGGTGTCAAAGTTAGGCTGACTAGTCTGTAATTCTCTGGATCCACTTTGTTCCCATTTTTAAAGATAGGTATTATGTTTTCCCTTCTCCAGTCCTGTAGGACCTCACCCATCATTCATGAGTTGTCAAAGATAATTGCTAATGGTTCCAAGATTGCTACAACTAATTCCCCAATTACCCTAGGATGAATTTAATCAGGCCCTGCCGACTTGAATACATTTAACTTATCTAAATATTCTTTAACCTGTTCTTTCCCTATTTTGGCTTGCATTCCTTCCCCCTTGTATTTATATTAATTGTGAGCATCTGGTAACCATTAAACTTTTTAGTGAAGACTAAAGTAAATGGGCATTAAACAGCTCAGCCTTCTTGATGTTGTCACTTATTAGCTCTCCTTCCCTGCTAAGTAGAGGACCTACGCTTTCCTTTGTCTTTCTTTTGCTCCTTTTAAAGAACCTCTCTTTATTGCCTTTTATGTCCCTTGCTAGGTGTAACTCATTTTGTGCCTTAGACTTTCTGATTTTGTCCCCACATGCTTGTGCTATACTTTTGTACCCCTCCTTAGCAATTCATCCATGTTTCCACTTTTTGTAGGATTCCTTTTTGATTTTCAGGTAATTAAAGAACTCCTGATGGAGCCATATTGGTGTCTTACTTTTCTTCCTATCTTTCCTTTGCCTTAGAATAGTTTGCAGTTGTGCCTTGCACAAACTGCAAAAGTGACTGCACTCCACCAATGTGTTTAGGTGAAGGTATTAAAGCCATTAAAAATTGATCAATTTACTTTAAATATCATTTTACCCCCATATCTACTGACATCTGTTCCCAAAAGAGAGATTCATGTTGAATCACTAGAAACATCTAATTGGTTGAACATGTCTATCTGGTTTATAGTTTAGATAAATCATTCAAGAACTTTAAAATGCTTTAGAGCAGGGGTAGGCAACCTATGGCACGAGTTGATTTTCAGTGGCACTCATACTGCCCGGGTCCTGGCCACCAGTCTGGGGGGCTCTGCATTTTAATTTAATTTTAAATAAAGCTTCTTAAACATTTTAAAAACCTTATTTACTTTACATACAACAATAGTTTAGTTATATATTATAGACTTATAGAAAGAGACCTTCTAAAAACATTAAAATTTATTACTGGCACACGAAACCTTAAATTAGAGTGAATAAATGAAGACTCGGCACCCCACTTCTGAAAGGTTGCTGACCCCTGCTTTAGAGTATATTGATTTGACAATTTATTCCTTACCCCATTCAGTGGGGTAAAGAACTACAGAAGTTTTCCTCATGCTGAGTTTCTCTAATGTACATATCTATCACTTCTTCGCATTGGGATATTCTGACTTCATGATTTTAAACTCTCTTAGAGAAACTGAAACAGAAAATTATTTTTATTTTTAATATACAGTGTAATTTAATTATGATGCTCAGACTTTGTAATGGTCATTTGGCTATATGGATCAAAAATTACATTCCAGAAGTCATTTCCTAGTGGTGCCCTTGCTAATCATTGGGTGTCTGGCTTTAAAGATTTTTGGGTATCCAAAAGATGGTTCTCTGACCTTTTCAAAGGTAAGAGAGAAATTGAATCTTGAATTATTCTTCCACTGCAAATAGTAGTAGTTTGTGGGAGTGCTGATTAGAACCTATTCTAGTAATCTAACTGATCTGCTCTAGCATAAAGTGCCTAATATAACTTGCTGTATCCATTATGAAGGAAGTTCATATTTTTATAAATATGGATGGAGTGATTATTTGGATATGATAATTAAGATAAGGATGACTTACATCACTTATAACAGGTGTCAACTGTACATCATTAATGCATCTTTTGAAAACTTCACATATTTGTCTTGAGAATTTTCATAGTAATTCCTTTGTCTGAAGCTATTCTTATGCTACATTAAAATGTATTACATAAATACTTCGGTTTTTGTTTGTTTTTTGTATAAAATCTGAAATGTCCTCTCATTTTACAGCATCTTTTGAAAACGAGAGAATTATCCCAGGAGTTTGTAATTAATCTTCAAATAGAAAAAAGTTTTTGTGGCATACAAGTTTGCAGTGATACATGCTTTTTTTTTTTTAAATAACTCTGCTATCAAATTTTGGTAACTTTTTTGGGGGAATAAGTAAGCAATTATTGATATGTGTGTACTTAAAAAAATTACTACATTTGACTATATAAGCAAATCTCAAAGTTATCAAGACAAATTTACTAAAACAGGAAAATTTTGAGGAATACTGATTTTATTTTTTCGGATTAAATAGCCCACTGCTTTCAAAGATGTATGTCTGAGTTTGTTAACATGAGTTTCAAAAACATTTTCCAAGACTTAACTCCAGTAATTTTGTTTTAAAAATTAGATTTCATTCTTAATTCACTCATAAATAATTTATCTTTAAGGAAAAAAGGTTTTTAATTTGAAGTAGGTCTGAGTCAGTTAAGAGATATCAATCAGACTGTACTTAACACACATCAGATTATCTAGTCTGAGTGTTGCTGCATATATAATTTTTGTAATATTTATATTTGTGAACATAAACTTTATGTAACTCTGCTTTTGGAGAGAAACATGCATGGCAGCTGTAATTATGTATTTTATATAGCCTATAACTTAAATTATTTGTTGAACCTGCTGTCACACATATGTGAAGAGGGATGATACATTTTCACCTTAACAATAGATTTTTTCTATAAACATAAAAGATTGTCGTAAAATTTGCCATGTCACTTGACCATATATATTCATTTGGAATTCTGAATAGGGAATATTGGAAAGATTAATGTTGTGATCTTCTGGTTTGTATTTCTGCAAACTGGCCATTTGTTAAACTATGGCTGACAAACCATCAAGCTTTCTTTAATGGCATTTAGTCTGTGAAATTTGGGACAAGGGCGCCCTCTCATGATCATGTGGCACATAAAAACCAAATACAGGCAGTTCTTGACTTTACGACGTGCGAGTTACGACGAACGGCACTTACAACGTTTATAAATTGTCATCGTGTTTCGACTTTATGACGCTCGATCAGACGTTCCTATGGGAAATTCGAGTTAAGACATTTTCAATTTGACATGACTTTCAGGAGCCAATTGTGTCGTAAGTTCGAGGACTGCCTGTATATTTTGATTATACTTTTTTCCTTTGGGAAGTGAGCTTTTTTTCTCTATCAAAACCCTGAGAATTCCTCCTTGTTTTCCTGCTTCATACTCTCCACAGTTAAGGCCTCATAATCCCTTTTCCAGGTGTAGAGGATAAAATGGATCTCTTTAGAGCTCATTAGTGCCATTCCTTGACTCTCACGCTCACTATTTTAGTAAAGACACAAGGCTCTAAGCAGGGCCGTCCTTACCCATACACAAAGCATGCAGCTGCGTAGGGCACCAAATTTCCTGGTGCCCTGCGCAGCTGCGTGCTGCTTCAGCCCCTGCTGCGGCTCTTCCCCATGGCCTCCCCCCCCGCACCTTCCCTGCCCTGCTCCAGCCCCGCCTCTTCCCGCTCCTGCCCAGCCCCGCCCCCACTCTCCTGAGTTCTGCAGCAGCCAGCACCTGGCGGTGGGAAGTGCATACCTGGCCCCAGCCGCGCCGCTGGTGAGTGCTGGGGGGTGGTTCCCCCCTGTCCCTCAAATTCCCCCCTCCCCCCCCGCGGAGGTCTGGGGCCCGCTCCTTGCCAGCACCGCCCACGGGGAGGCTGCGTAGGGCCCCAGAATAGCTAGGGACAACCCTGGGTTTAAGGCCCTGATCCTGTAAAGACCTATTCACATGCGTAACTATGCACTGTGAGAAGTCCCACTGAAGCCAGTGGGGCTGCTCACAGAGCAAATATTTAAGCATGTAAATACATCTTTACAGGATTGGGGCCTAAAGGAGTAACTTGTTTAAATAGCTTAAGGCAGTGGTTCTCAACCTTTCCAGGCTACTGTATGCCTTTCAGGAGTCTGATTTGTTTTCACCTCACTTAAAAACTACGTGCTTACAATATCAGACATAAAAAATACAAAAGTGTCACAGCATACTATTACTGAAAAATTGCTTCCTTTCTCATTTGTCTATATGAAATTTTAGTTTGTACTGACTTCGCTAGTGCTTTTTATGTAGCCTGTTGTAAAACTAGGTAAATGTCTAGAGTTGATGACCCCCAGAAGACCTCTGCGTACCCCCAGGGGTATTTGTACCCCTGGTTGAGAACCACTGGTTTAAGGAAGATAGTTAAGTAATATTATCAAATTAAAAACATTGAAGTGTGGAGGGTTGTACTTGTTAATTGAAAATTTTCTCCTTGGTTTCTGTTAATTTCTTTTGTGGGTGAGGGCAGGAGAGGGAAGAGGAAGAAATATAGCTGGCAGGAACATTTCCCAGCTGCTGCTCCTTTTTAAAACCAGAAGCTCTTGTGGAACTACTCAAGATTATATATGGAAAGATCACTGGCTTTCTGTTCCTTGGACTAAAATATTTTTCTTTAACCCACCAATTCCAGAGTTTATTTGTTTCATTTGTAGAATGGAAGACTGGTTACTGCAGTATCTAACAATACTGTCCAGATTCATACATTCCCCGAAGGAGCTCCTGATGGCATCCTGACTCGTTTCACCACGAATGCAAACCATGTTGTCTTTAACAGGGATGGTACTAAAATTGCTGCTGGATCCAGGTAATTTGATCTTGATGCAGGACAAGCCAATAGCCACACTCAATTTGGAACATTAGCAACTTCCTGGGATGTGACTTTTGTTCACAATGCCATCTAATTAATCTGCATTTTGTGAAGATTTTACAATGCCTCAAAAGGTCTTCATAGACGAAAACGGTCAAATGGAGGAGGCCATTAAGAAAAACTTTTATGGGAGAGGTTGGGGCCACATAAATAACTGCCCCACAACATCAAGTTTCCAGATGTAATTTATATTCTTCAGGGACTTACTTTGCGAAGGCACAAGGGTTCACCCATAGGGAGCTCATTTCAGGATCAGGGCTTTAGTTACTAACTTTGTATTAAGAATCACAGTATTGTTAACAGTTTAAGGACCCAGTACTGCAAACGCTAATGCCCATACATAATTGTCACAAGTCTCTCAATGATTACTTGAAGTCTAGAACTTGTGAGTTGACAGTACATTCCACTTAAATGCAGAACATATGGATAGAGCCCTGCAAATCCGCGGGTATCTGCTTTATATCCTTGGACCATTTCTGTAGATACCAGCGTGGATGCGGATACAAATTTTGTTTTCCGCACAGGGCTCTGATGGTAAGAGCAGGTGGGCAGCTGTGAGGAACCGTGGCGTGGATCCTCCACCTGCCCTGGTCGGGAGGCCTGGGGGCAGGAACAAGGGTCAGGGGCTGCTCGGGCTCCATGCCCAGGGCAGGTGGAGGGTCCGCCACAGCTCCCCATAGCTGCCCTCCCGGCTCTTACTGTGGCCAGGCTGCAGCTCCGAGCCATCCCCCTGGCCGGAGCCGGATTGGGAAGACAACGCTGTCAGCTGTAGGGAGCCTGGGTTCCTCCACCTTCCCTGGGTGGGGGGCAGGGACAGGAGCTGGGGGCTGTTTGGGCCCCTCACCCAAGGCAGGTGGAGGGTTCCCCGCAGCTCGGCACAGCTGCCCGCCCGGCTCTTATCGTGGCTGGGCTGCGGCTCTGAGCTGCCTCCCTCCCTGTTTAAAAGGTAAATTTCGTCAACTGTTCTGTTTTAAAGTTGCAGGGCATGTTATAAAGATACTAACATGAGTAGTAATATGGATATGAATGAATACAATTTATACACTTCTTACTATGGCTATTTTTTGTGTTAGACGAAAATATTCAGGGCTTATGTACATTGCGTGGCAAAGCACTCCACTGGGGTGTGATCTGAAGAGCTCTGTAACGTTGTGCTCTAACTGCCCTGTGTATACCTTGCTAGAGTGAGGGACTACTTTGTCCCCTTTAATGCAAACTAGGTACCTTTTAGAGTGTACCAGCAGGGTCTATGGTGGGCAGCTAGAGTTCAACACCGGGGTGACCAACCTGAGCCTGAGAAGGAGCCAGAATTTACTAATGTACATTGTCAAAGAGCCACAGTAATATGTCAGCAGCCCCCCATCAGCTTCCCCTACCCCGCTCCCAGCACCTCCCTCCCGCCCACCAGCAGCCCCGACGATCAGTGCCTCCCCCTCCATCCTCCGACTTCCCAATCCGCTGTTTCGTGGCATGCTGGAGGCTCTGGGAGGAAGAGGGAGGAGTGAGGGCACTGCAGGCTCAGGGGAGGGGGCAGGAAGGGGTGGAGTGGGGGCAGGGCCTGTGGCAGAGCCCGGGGTTGAGCAGTGAGCACCCCCCGGCACATTGGGAAGTTGGCACCTGTAGCTCCAGCCCCGGAGTTGGTGCCTGTACAAGGAGCCACATAGTAACTTCTGGAGAGTTGCACGTGGCTCTGGAGCCACAGGTTGGTCACCCCGGCCTTAGAGCACTCTACAAATCACACCCCTTAAAGTGCTTTGCCATACAGTGTAGACAAGCCCTTGGTATCTTGCAGAAACTGTGGCTGTGATCCTGAAAAGAGTTGTGATTATGCTTAAGACTGCAGGATTGATGCCCAGGGTTAGATTTATTTAATGATTATGTAGATTGCAATTCTCTAGTGGTATTGAGATATTTGTAGGGAAGTGCATTATAATCCTGATTTTAAGTGGTTCATATGTCAACCATAAAAATATATTTCCCACTGAATTTGAGACTCAGATGTTTCTAACTAGTGTTCTATTTTTTCATACATCAGAAACATCAGTTCAAGTACTTCTAAATTTTACATTATTTTTTAAGTGTGTGGGACAATGCTGG